GCTTTTCGCATCAAGTTACATAATAGGCCTACCTATTCACTCCAATTTTTAAACTATAACGAAGTAAAACGTAAACTGCTGAGCGTAAATTTACCATGTTATGCGTTTGTAAGACTGAGACAACAATTAATATGGATATTGCGCCCTCTTAAGTCTATATGTTTACTTAAATATTATACTTATGAGATACCTACGTATTGCTAATAATTTTTTAAAATTTTTATTTCCCCTCTCATTTGTCAGTTTTTAATATTTTATCATATTTATTTTTTATTTTTTATTGTAGTCTTATATTTTGTACTGTACTTCGGCTGACGGGTAGTAACTTAATAATAAAATAATAAGTTAAAGATTACAATTTTAGTTTAGCTCGACATTATTTAGGTTATTCAATTTTATCCACTTTGGCTAGTTGGCTATTATTAACAAATGTGAAATGTCGGTAATCGATATAGGTTATATTTTAAGGTAGCCTTAATGTGGAATTGAATGATTATTTTCGAATCTGTTTTAATTTTAAATGGTCAATTGCATGGTGATTTATTAGGTAGTTATTTTCAAATTTAAAAAGAAAAAAAAACATATTCAAACTGAGTGACTGCAGAACACGTTAATAGTCTATAAAAATATTGTGCTAGGCACCTAATAAAATATAACTGGTATAGATAAGCATCTAGTATAAATAATAAACTTACCCGGTTTTGGCGAATGATGACCAAATGTTCACCATGACTGGAATTAACTTGGCATCTTCGACGTTGTCGTGTGGATTTCCATATCTGGTTTTTATAACGTACATTGTGTCGTCACCATGTGATACTCCTATATCGAATAAATAATCATAATATATAAATATAAACGATCAGATTTTATTCTAACTCTGTCCTATTTACCCATTCCCTCAGAGGATCCTGTTTTGGAATATTTGTCCGAGAGCGAGTATTTACCCCTATAACTAAATTCATAAAAGTATACTGGTGATGTATTTATTGAAGCCAAATGCTGGGCTGCTCTTGCTACCGGTTCTTTGAACAGTCTGTCTGTAAACATCTGAAATGGATGATTCATTAATTATTTACTAACCAATTTGGAGTTTTACATGGGTAAATCGTGTTTTAATTTTAATTTGTAAGTAAATTGATTTTGAGCCACAAATTTATCGTAAACTTAGTGCGCCYGATAAACATTTTAGGACGGGTTGAAGCAYCAGCTCTATTTTTCAAAACCATTATTTAAAATTAAAATATAAATTATTTTAATGTACGTATCTGTCTATGCAATGATTTAATGGGTAGAATAAATAAGTGCCCTAATACAAATGTATTCTGGACACGTTTATGTGATTTGTATTTATATTTTTACTTTAGTAGTTATATTATCCTTTATGTACAATTTTGAAATTCGTATTTAGGATCACACATAGTGGTCGAACCGCAACATGATGTGGTCAATTTTTCAACCGTGGCTGAACCTAGTGTATTAGGCGGTTGCGTTTAAAATTAAATAATTTGAATTTGTTGGGGTGTACAACCGCTATGTGTGGTCAGACTCTTAATAAYTTTAGGAATAACATTTTTAGCTATATCTAGTGCGAACTGCCCAATTGTGAAATAAACACAGTAATTGAACAAAGTTAAAAAATGCTTTAAAATTAAGTAAACCATGTCGGTAGGTATCAAAAAATTGAATAAATACTTTTTGTTTTTAAAAATAAACATAATAGTCATATTGTATATTATCCACAGTTCGATAGTTAACATTATATGATTACGGACACGGGACAAGTGGTAACAATTCAAAACCACAATCATCGAATTTTCATCCGTTTGGATGAAATTTATCTAAGGAAAGTAGGCATAATTACTATGAATTATTTTTGTGGAAATTGAACCACTTATGTTGTTATTATTTGTTTTATACAAATTAAATACCAATTTTTGAATGATTTTTTCGCTTAAATTAAAAAAAAAAAAAGCTCAGATATCGTAGCTACATATATTTTGAGTGTGCAATCTCTAGTGATTAAATTGTAATTAAATCTAGTAATTGAACATTTGTTAAATTATTGCTGTTGCTTAAACATATTTTTATCAAGTGATTGAACAGCTATATTTTATTTTGTTAGTTACCTAGATACATATCTAATAATAATAAACATTCATATATTCTACCAATACTGACAATATTTAAGTGTGTACATAGATACCTACAATAAATATTATTTAAAGTACAAAAATAATAATTTCAATCAAAATTCAAAAACATGGAAATGTAATACTAAGTTCCACATAAGTTGATAATAATATAATTAAAAAATAGTTGAATAGTGTAAATCCACAGTAATTTTATGTGTGTTTGAATTTAAAATGTGGATGGTATTGGAATATTAAATACTGTAATCTCTATTTACTAATAAATTGATGAACTCCCATTAACCATTTTTGATATTTTGTTATAATTCAATAATCGTAGACGAATGAAATTTTCACCAAACTTTTATTAGTTTCTAATTTATAGTTTTTTCCATGCGTTTTTGAATTATAACAAAATTATAAGTTATAATTCATGAATTATATTAAATAAATACAAATCGTCTATATAGATAAATATTTTTAGGTTTTCATACTGGGTTTTCATACTGGGTTTGAAGACGAAGTGTTCAAACACTATATGTCTATTTCATATGTTGTGTTCAATCACTAGGATTTTACTTATTTAAAAAAAAATATATTAATAGGTACTTATCCTTAATATTTATTTGGTTGCATATAAGTTTCTGAATATTAGTTTAAAAATAGACAAATATATCAATTTTCAAGTCTAAAGTGGAAAAATGTAATGCTGGTAATATTATCTGGTATGTTAATGAATACATTTTAAAAGTAAACATATCCTTAACTGCTCAATCACTGGATGGTTCGTTTTTACAATTTATTTTTTTAGTTGAGCTACTTGGAGTCGATGATATATATGCCATCTATAATCTGTATTCCAACTAATTTTAGTATACCAACTTATCCAATAATAATTAATAAACTATTTTGTATTTGATATAAATCTTGCACGATGTACGATATATCTATATATCCTATAGGATATGTCCTATTGTACCTATATGTATATTGTATAAATTATGAACTTAAAAGTTAAAACACTTATTAGGTATCTTACTTCGACAACTTCTTTCTTAGTGTTTACTGACACTGTATTGTTTCCAAAGTAAAATGTTTTTATTTTCTGCGCGATTTCCGGTTTCAGTGATTCATCTGAAATCGTGTTATTGTAGTCAAGTATGAATGGTAGTATATCGTTCCATTTGGATTCCATGTCAACCAGAGTTTCTTCGAGTGATATAAATTCAGCAGCTGGATAGAGACCATCGTCTTGAGTGAAGCTGAACAACAGTGGGACATTTTGAGCAGGTAAATTCTCTGGTAAGTCTGTTAAAAATCGTTCTGTTCCGCCTGTTTCGACAGTTGGACCAAATGGTGTAAAAGGATTGTACTTCCACGGCTAATGAGTAACGAGTATTGATAAATGAATAATAAAACAATGTATTATTTTTATATTAGGGTATACTGTGTACGTGATTGCACAAGCATTTTCAAACAAAAATATTTTTTACCATGAAATTTTTCAAAGAGTTTGCTATAGCTAATGCTGGTCTTGATCTAAGGCATTTTACGGTATCCTTGGAATAATATGTAGGACATCCTAGTGACTCAGCTAATTCCTTAGTCTTTTGAATAGTGTTTTCTGTGTAAGCCCAACCACAAAAAGCACTTCCACTTTCAGCAATTCCTCTATTGAATAAACCTGTATGTATGAAAGTATTATATTGTTAGCAAATTATTATTGTACTATTTACTAATATATTTTAATAGGTTGTATATAAAGTAGGGTACGCAGAAAATTGTTATATACTTAATTAAATATATTTGATGTATTTTATATACTTAAAATTTTCGTTTTCAATCATTTTGATAAAAATTAAAACTAAGGACCAAATGTATTATTATTTTAAATATATTAAACGTCGTTGGAAAAGTAATTTCTATGTTTTTTGTACGTATAAATGCGTGAGCACAGTTAAATTTTAATAGTGTCGTTCAGCTCATGCAAAAATACTGGACATATTTAATCTAAAAAAACGTACATATAATAATCACTGGATATTTAAAAAATGGCTATCTAAAAATTGTAAATAACTGCTATCCTATATTACTCCACACCATATTAGAATTTAGCTAGATGGTTGGCAGATACCGATTATTGGTTATGACTTATGAACAAAAATAGAAGAGATGTACCTAACATCGACGTGTTATGAATGAACTTTAAAGTTCACCTTCCAAAACGTAAAATAAAAGTGACGTAACAGTTTATTTAAATGATTCATTAAACTAAATGAGTATAAACTATAGAAGTACCTATATATAGAGTTGAAAAGCGGAAATTGATTTCGAAAACCAATGGATACCAATGGTACCACTAAGTGAAATCCTACTGTCTATTGATTGGGCTTCTGCCTATTTATGAAAATAAATTACAGTTTGGTTATTTGGAGATTTATGTAGTTATAAAATATTTGGCGGCTATTTTCTTAGTAATTTTTTGAAGCTTGGTAATTAGATTATAAAATGAAGACAAAATAATAGAAGTATCAAGTATAAAAATTCAAATTTAAAAATGACACACAAACATAATCATATCTTGTCATGTCTATTTATTTATAATTATAACCTTTTTTTTTTTTAACAATACGAGGTATCATAATCCTGATCACGACAACATGTTTATGTTTTGAGTTTTTAATGTTCATCACGCGTATTTATAAAACGTATAGGTAGCAAATATTAACGTTAAACGCTAATCTCTGTGATTATATAATTACAAATAAATAGTATATATAATATATATATTTTTTTTTAAAGATACTTCTTAAGATGAATTTTAAACGTAGTAATATAATATTTTGCTAATTATTATTTAATTAAGAAAAGTGAAACCGTGAAGATTAACAAAATTAATCATAGGATCCGAGTTTTCTGGATCTTTGATTTGAATGTGTCAACACGATCGTGTTAGTACGATTGTATATAATAATAAAATAGTGTTATATTATACTTAAATGATAATGTTATAGTATATTATTCACTATCGAGTATCGAGACATCCGATAGCAAACTAAACTAATTGAAAAATTATAAATCAATGAAGCCATACAGCTTGGTAAAAGTAGGTACTGTATTGTAATTTAAATTTCAGAGTTTAGAAAAGTGTCAAAAGTTTTGGGGTGTAGTAAATGTAATGTTTGCCATTTTACTCCATTCAGCTATACTTTAAACGTAGCAGTAAGTTCTTCAAAAACATAAAACACATTTTCTCTCTTAAAAAAAAACACTTAAATTGACTTTGACATTGATAGAGCTCTTAAATATTTTATATAACTTACCCACTGACATTGGTGACAGAACGTGGTAATGAACACTAGCTCCACCGGCTGACATTCCGGCGATGGTCACCGAGCCTGGGTTTCCGCCGAACGCAGCGATGTTGCGCTGGACCCACTTGAGGGCGGCTACCTGATCCTTGAGACCGTTATTTCCCGGCAATACGTCGTCACCGGTGCTCGCGAATCCCAAAGGCCCCAGTCGGTAGTTGATTGACACGTACACGAAATCTTCGCTGTCTAAAATGTAGTGTGGCTCGTAACCGATACCGGCGCCAAACTGGAATGCGCCGCCATGGATGTACACGATCACGTTCATTAGGCCACCAGATATCAGCCCTTCTTGGGGTAGCTGCGTAAGATACACCCCACATACATTATACAAGGTGATTTTTTTCCCGCACTTATTATTATAATATAATAGGCATTAGGCATACTGACCAATTAATCGCCTTCTTTGTCTCAAGTGTAGGTATAATTATATCTACTAGGCAAGTATACAAAAAAAAAAATTAGGATGGGCGCAGGTTCATAAAAAATTTGAAATAATCAATATTGTATTATACGTTTCTCAATTTGGATCGATCAGAAATAATTATAATAACATTTTGTTTACATTAAAAATAAAAATTTAGATGTTCTCGTATTTTAATTGTTTATTTCGTTTATTCGTTAATGGTATAACGATAATATATTTTTTAATTGGTACAACTGATGTGAAAGCTTAAATTAGTTTTTACTATAAAGAGGGGTTGTGAGGGGACTGATTTTATTTTTCACCTATTTTTGGGGTTGTGACGTTAAAAAGGTTGAGAAATTATGTCATTTGTAATTTGTAAATAATTTACATCGATCAGCATGATTTTGAATTTCTTTGTTTACAATTTATAATAATGTTATTTTATTATGATTCAACTACGAATACGAATAATTATATAGTTATAGTGTGTACTAATGAACTAATACATTTATTATAATATTAAATAATATATATTTGTTATATAGGTACTTATGTAATAACTTGTATCAATTATAAAGTAATATTACCTAACATACATTTTGTTTTATGTTCATTAAAAAAAAATATTTTGCAAATACTTAGTGGATAGTGGACGGAATCAACATGTCAAAAATTTTGAGGGATTTAATATGCGGTGCATCGAAAGGGTTTTAGCAGGCAAAAAGGTAATTTCGGTGTAATCGACACACAATAAAATAATATTACAATATAATAATCACACGGGCAAATGTAAACTGGGCCCGAGGTTACCTTTTTCTGTTGTAAACTCGGCCCGGAAATTTCACCTAATAAAATAAAATAGATCGATTGTAAACTCAGCCTGAAAACTTCAGGTGATAAAAAAGGTCGTACTCATATAATATTATATAATAAGCATGACATAATTTAATCTGAAAATAATAAATAATTAAAAGAAGTACAAACAAAAACATACATTTAAATTAACAGCCTAGATGCACCATATCAATTTATAAATCTAGTCGTTGGCATGAAATAAGGCAATTAATAATTAAATTTTTATTAAAATATTATAATATTACTTACTTTTGGAGTGTACACATTGAGGTATAGGCAATCTTCACTTCCGAGTACCTTGAATTGTGAGTGGTCTAGACCTATACAATCACTTCCGGGAATGGTGGCATTCCACACACCCACCCACGGTTTTACCGGTTGTGGTTCCTAAAAAATTAGAAAATATTTAATATTAATTATTATTTATCAATACTCTTTGATACTATTTTTTTTCCTATACATGTACAAAAAATTCAAGTACCCATATCAACTATCAAGCAATGTGATAACCGATGAAAGTCACAAAAAATAAATGAGGGCTTGATATTTCAGTGCTGATATAGCCATATAGGAGTGATAATGGTAAATAAACGAGCCCTTATTTGGGCTCATTTTCTGATAAATTAATGGATAAACCAGCTGTAGCCTGTAAATGCAGATTTTAGGTGCAATCTAGGTGATGGCAGGCGAGGAAATCGCACTCTTATATTTTATAGTGAGACAAAGAACTCGTTTTGCTACCTTGTTTTAAGTTCTAATTCATTTAATATCACAATACATTTGGTATGTATTGGTTTTACTATGAATGCATTTATTTTGTAGAACATTTTAGGTAGGAGTCCAACGATAAAAAAGTAGGACCACAAAGAATGAGATTTTAGAAAGAAAAAAATTAATAAAAAAAAAAAGGCGGGTAAGTCGTGGATGTCGCTCTGCTGTACAGTAGGTTACAAGTGGGTACTGTAATGGATGGAATTAAATTTGAATCCAATGATATTATATCATTGTATAGTAAACGATTCTGATCGAAGACGGTTTATCTGTCTATGATATATTATAGATTATTAAAAATTTTCAAATCTTAGATTTAAAAAGAAAATTTTTTATGAATTTCTAGTTTGAAATAATTTGCGAATTTTCGTGATTTTCGTGATTTTTACATATGTTGTCAAAATTCAAACTTTGAATGCTTGT